CACCTAACCAGTGTTGCGTTCTCTTCGACAGAAGGAGGCAAAGGAATCCTCGCATATGGCCGCAGCAATCGAACCCTTGGGCTGATGTCTTTGTTCGATGATTCACCGGAGCCACCATCTCAAAGCCCCTTGCCACGATTCGAACTGCTTCACCCAGCACCAGTTACCTGCTTGAGCTGGAAGCCAACACCCACACCTCGACGCTCCAAGAGCCCAATCAACCCAGGCGTCATTGTCCAGACGGATGACCTGCTGGTTGGCGATGAGATTGGCCGGGTTTATTACTATTCCGTAGAATGGCCCGAAAGATGGGAGGTCGAGCGAGACAACTGGGCTGGGCAGATGACTCTCTTAGTTCGAATCGATGTGCACAACCAGCAGATCTGTGGTCTTTCCTGGTCCAAGAACGGCGATCTCTTTGCCACGGGCGGGAACGACAACCAATGTTTCTTGTTTGAAACCAGCAAGGTACTCGATCTCGACGCCAGCACGGTATCTGGGACTGAAGAAGATTCCCCAGACGAGTCTGCGGCATACGAAAACGATGAAAATCAGTCCAGTATCCCCTCAACCACGCCGAGTGGGGAGAGCAGCGAGGCTTACTCCGCGGCCGAGACCGAGATTCAGAGGCCCAGGGCTTCTACACATCACGTCGCGCACCTCAAGCTTGGTGATCAGAAACATCGGTGGCCGCATGGGGCCGCAGTCAAAGCCATTGCCTTCTGCCCTTGGCAAGATGGTCTGGTGGCAACTGGGGGAGGCTCGAACGACAAATGCATTCATTTCTTTCACACTACGTCCGGAGCCCCTCTAGCGACAATTGCGGTTTCGGCGCAAGTGACGAGCTTGATCTGGTCCACGACGAGACACGAGATCGCTGCCACGTTTGGCTACGCCGAGCCGGAACACCCCGTACGGATCGCTGTGTTCTCGTACCCGGAATGTCGCCAGGTTGCCGCGATCCCCTGGGCCGGCGAGCATCGAGCGCTTTACGCCATTCCTTTTCCAAGCGAGCCTGATGACTCCCGATCGGCCAGAGATGGCACGCGGGAGCGAGGCCACAGTCGCACCGCAATGGAAGGCTGCATTATGGTTGCGTCGAGCGATAAGAGCGTCAAGTTCCATGAGGTATGGACGACGGCAGACAAGAAGGCTACGGCGGGTGGTGTCGGCATGCTTGGCGGCAGTGACATCCTAGAGAGCCTTGAGGGGATCGATAGAGACAGCGAAGTGATTCGGTAATAGTGACGAGCAGAGTGTTTGCCAATAGCAACAGGCACATATTGCAACCTCAAATCGGACATGGGTGGATTGGATCGAAACCAGGGGGTTCGTCACGTTGGGTGGGCCGTTCAATTTGGTCGAGCAAGGGGGTGGTCAGTACGAGAGTATTAGACAACAAATTGACAGACGCCTTTTAGCAAGCAAGAAAGTTGGGCCTTGTTCATAGATAGTGATGCCAGCGTTGGTAAGCATCAATACCCAGCGCCAAGATTAGTAGCGTTGACACGACTGGAATTGTTGCAAGGTGCAATATGTGGACGGCATGGAGCTTGTCGGTCGCTGAGACAATATGTATGGAGAAGGACAGGCAGACCTCAAGTTGTAAGCCAAAGAATACATCCGTAAGTTGAACGCCGCGCAAATGCAAGTCGGGACCCTCCGTCCCGGATATCCTATGGCACTGATAGCCTTTGAAGTCCCAGCCAGAGACAAGGAAACAAATAGAGCGCTCTTGCTTGTTGCGCGTCTCGGTATGCTTGAGCGTTCTGTATCGGGACAAGCACGAATACCACTCTCCAAACTGCCCCAAACATGCGACACTCTATCCCGTTCTGCTCAACGCCCCCATCTACTCCTCAACGAACCTCGCCTCCTGAACACCACAACTCTACAAACAGCCTTCCTCACTTCAAAATAGCAATCAACAACACCAGGATTATGATCAACGCCACAATCGCCACCATTTGCCGACTCTCACTCGCCGTCCGAGCAATACGATCCACCTGCCTTCGTGCCCGCCCCAACGTGCTGGCATGCCTGTCGACTACCCTCTCGCTCTCATCCAGCATCAACACCTGCTCGTCCAGCTCATCGCCTATCCGCATCGACAGCTCTCGCTGGCGGGAGATACTCACCCCGAGCGCATCCAGCTGGGCATCTTGCTCCTCCAGAATCCGCTGGTGATATTCGTGGATCTGCACATTGTCGAGGTTGGCGGCCTGATCGCGGTACCCGGCCGTGTCGGGATCGTCCCGGTAGGGGAAGAGCGGGTTTGAGTCTACGGCGGGAGGGCCGTTTTGAGCTTCGAGGTCTAGCGGGGAGTCGGAGAAGCGGACGGTTTTGGGGGTGGAGACTTTGCGTGTTGGTTTTTGGCGGGGGGAGGTTGGTGGGTTTGGGTTCGAGGAGGAGGACTGAGCGTGGGCGAAGTCGGCGGCGAGGGAGGGATCATTGGGGGAGGTGAGGGTGGTGGAGGTGGCGGGCGTGGGGAAGCCGTGGAATTGGGAGGAGAGGTCGTGGTATTGTTTTTGGAGGGTGGTAAGGGTCGAGGCGAGGGCGGAAGATTTTCTGAGAGGGGGTTAGAAGGGGAGAAGGGGAGAAGGGGAGGGGAGGGTGGTGATGAGGGGGGACTCACGCTTCGTCGCCGGCTTCCTGGAGGCGGGTTTGTTCCTTTTCGAGGGCTTCAAGGCCCCCGCGGAATTGATCTAGTGAGCGTGAGATGTGGCCATCTTGGGAGTCGCGGGAAAGTTTGAGCGTCTTTGCGCGTTGTCGCTCGAGGAGGGATAGTTTGATGTGGTCGGCGAGGAGGAGCAGCGCGTTCGGGTTCGACATGGCGGCGGCTTGTGGTCGATGGACTCACTGGAGAGGGGATCGGGGACAGTCGATGTCAAGAATAGAATGCGGCGTGTGGTTAGTCTGGCGAGCGATCATGCCGTGTTTCGGTTGGTGTTGAACTGAAAGTCAATCAACCGGGTCATGCGGGTTCCCGGCTGAGACCTGGCTCGTTGCTGCTGCATTACGCACATCCGCGCGGCTTGGTCGGGTGGTGGTCCGTGCGCTGCAGCCGAACCCCCAAGGTCCATTTGGCGATTCCTTGTGGGCTGTACAAAATAACCTCTCACCCACCCTCTCGATTGCCCACCTTTCTTGTAGGCGGGCGCCGCCCCCATCTGCCCCATACTGTTGCTTACACGCACGTGGAAAGAAGACTGTTAGGATTATTCGGTACGGTGGCGAAGAGGGATGGCGGAAGCCGTTGCGACGGCGCAGGCCGATGCGATGGACACGCAGGCGAGCCCCCCCGCCGAAACGCCAGCTGCGGCGTCGGTCGAGCTGCCGCCGCCTCCACCGGACATGCCGGCCGCCTTTCCCAAGAAGCGCCGAGGCCGGCCACCCGGACGCCCCAACATGACGGTTCGCGAGGCCGACTACGAGGAGAACCCGCTTGTGCGGGCGTGGAACGCAGCCAAGTCGGAGCGGCCAATGTCTGTTGTGCCCATCTACATCCGCCAAGCCCTTACCGACGCCGCCCTCGTCCACGACACCCAGCGCCAAATCTTCCGCTTGCCCAGTCGGGAGGTTATTTATTTTGTCCAGGGTTGGATCACCGCTCGTCATATTGCCTCACAACGGCCCAGCTATGTCAATGGGCTTCTCATCCACTCTCGCGGCCAAGACGCTCCGTTGTCCTGTGCTCAGTGTACGGAAAGGCGAAATAAAAACGCTCTAGGCCCCTTCCTAACGTGCCGAATTCTCCCGGGGAGTTACCACAACAGTTGTTCAAACTGCAAGTGGTTTGACAACACTTCGGCATGCTCGCTGTATACCGGACCCAAGCCAAACCGGAAGCGAAAGGCGAAGGAGGCAGCCGTTCAGGAGCAGGAGCCGCAGGACAATGGCACAGGCAACGACGCGGGTGAGGGATATCTTCCCGTGAGCGAGGCGCCTGAAAGTATCGGGGATCAGCAGACTTCAGAGGATGGTATTGATCCTGCGTTGCAAGCGCATGTCGATGCGGCGGTGGACGCTGCCTCTGGCGTTGACATGGACGAAGCGTTGGAAGTTCAGTTCGGGGATATGCAGGAAGTGTACGACGTCTAGTTTGCGAAGTTGCAAGTTGGTTGTGATGCGGTGGCTGACTGGGGTGGTAGACACGGTTCGAATAATATGGATGCGCAACTAGCAGCGCAACTTCTTCCGGAGATTCAAAGGCATGACGACTCTGCAGATGAGACATGAACTACTTGAGTAGCGGATATCCAACGTCGATTTCTTGGACCTCGAGTAATCATATTCATCGTTAGGTAAGCTTGGCCTGTATCCGTAGCTTAGCATCTAAGGCTTATTCAATGAGGATCAGACTTTCTAGCACCAATATTAGATTCTGATTAGTTAACCGCAGCGGAGGCTCCTGTCAACTGGGTAGCCACGGCGGGACTGGACGTGGCGAACTGGGCTGAAGATGTGGAACAGCGGATCTCCTACCAAACCAAACGAGTTTCTGTTAATTGGGTTCAGCATCCGACTGCCTGGAAAAGAATTTCGGTGCACCCATATTTTTACTCGGGACAAGAAGGGCAGCTTTGCATTTTCGTGGGTGGGCAAGAGTGCCGTGCCCCCTTCCGCTTAAGTTCCCCCGCGCCGAACCAGACAGGCCGCAGCTCAGCTTCAAGCGGATCAGCCGCTCTCTTCCAAGCTTTCCACCTGGAAACAAAGCCATAGCAGCTCTGGTCATCAAAAACTTTCCGTCAAAGGACAACCAAAAAAGAGACCGAACCAAGAACTGGTGGCGGGCGTGAGTGCCCACGCGTCCGCTCAAATCAAGAACTCGATGCGACTCCAACCCCCAATACAAAGAAGTTTTTGGGGGACGAAACAACCACCCTGCTCTTAAAAAGCGACGCCTCACAGCGCAAGCCACAATTATAACCACTTCGCCGCGACCCACATCCGGCCCCCAAACGATGCCAACACCAGCAAAAATTCAGCTTTTTCTATATCTCTCCCGCCGGGAATTGAACCCGGGTCTCGAGCGAAGTCTCCCTCATCGAGGATGACAAGCTCACATACTGACCACTATACTACGGAAGATGTGTGGATGTCGCCACCCACGGTAGTTTTTGGTCGTGCCTGGTTCTCGGGAACGGGGAATCGAACCCGGGCTGCTGAGTACTCAAACATGAGAGTCAGCGATGTTAGCCACTACACCATACCCAATTGTTGAAATCTGTGTGCGAAAAACAGCTTGATGGATGGGGCTGGGTGGAGGGATGGCTCTGCTGGTTGACGGGATGGCATGGATGTTCAGAGGCTAGGGCTCCACGACGAGCACCCCAATGACTCGTCGACTTTCCGCCTTCACAACGCCCCCGCACGGAGTCCTCACCGATGAAGAACGAGGAAACAGAGTTGGTAGGGAGCGGAAGGTCCCGTACAGGACACCTCGCGTGTCCTCGGTGTTTCGTTGAGGCGTAAAGACACCTACGCCAAGTATCGTCAACTCTCGGAAGCCAAAATCAAGTTTCATGACAACTTTTTCACTTCGGATGTTGCAATCGGATGTAGTGCTTCGGAGCTGGAGGAATGGAACCTGCATTGAACTGCGTCGCCACCGTGCCAACGACCACAGGTGGGTTTTTAACGCTGGTTAGAGCGGCTGTCGACCTTCGTCTGGCCAGAAAAGGGGAAGCGCTTCGGCGGGTATATGTTGTGGGACGTAGAACCCAGGAGTTCGGAAAATGCCTAGCATTTACACACAACCGTTGATTGGTGTCCAAACTGGGTGGTTGTATTCGTGTTACATCTGGTTGGGCGCCACAACGGAAACAACTTGACACCCTGGCAGCCGAGACATTCCTTTGGCCGCATCCTCGGGAAGAATCTTGTCCTTCATGAACAGCGGAGCCGGACTCGATCCTCCGTGGCTAGCTTGGTGAGAAGGGCGGTGGGGTTTCTCGGGCGGCATGAACACTAGTTACACTGCCCTAGAAACCGAAAAAAAAAAAAAAAAAAAAAAAAAAAAAAAAAAAAAAAACCAGAGCAGCGAAGCAAGGCTTGGAAGATGTTGTGATGCAGACCTTTCGCTAACTTCGGACGCAGATCCGGCTCCAGATCCAATTACCCCTTCCGACTTCTCCACAAGAAGTTGCCTTCTCAGTTCCTACCACACAAGCCGCTGCCGTCACCACGCAGGGAATCTTTCATTAATTCATCGGGGAGATGCATGCAGCCATGGGATGTTCCAAGGAAAGCCGCCCCCAACTCTAGAAAGGGGCTTCACAAACAAAGGTGGCCCGTACATGATGGCCATCTTCCTATCGCTGACCTCCTTGAACAGAAGTGATCGTCAACGCAAGTCCCTTTTTCCTCGAACGTGGTCAAAGTTGTTGGTTCAGAGATTGAAAACTTCGGGTCCAGATATGAAATGGTGATGTCGACGACTCGAGGCTTGACAAAACGACGAAAATGAGATTCCGATGGACGAGAGTCTCGCGATGGTACGACTGGGGGACACATATAGAGAGAGACAGAGCTTATGGAGATCTGGAAATCTATAAGAGTCACCATCTTCTTCTAGTTCTCCAGAAGTTTTCACTAGGCCATCAACATCTAGAACCATCAACACCACTCCCAAAAATCACCAAGAAGCTTCTCTCAAGACGACCCTTGCAGCCAAGATGCAGCTCATCAACACTGTCTTCACTTTCCTCGCCATTGCCATGACGGCCTCTGCCGCTCCAACCGGGGCAACCGTCCTAGAAGCCCGCACACCGCCCCCGGTATCTCAATGCAGCCAAGACCAAACGACCATTTGCTGCGTGTCCCTCCTTGGTATTCCAGTTTCTTGCAACATCATCAGCAGCTGCGGAGCAACAGCCTTTTGCTGCGACAATGACAGTAACACGGTCAATGTACGTTCAACCCTGGCATTACTCAGCGAGAGAATTCTAACCAGCCATGTTACCCGCCTCAGCAAGGGTTCGTCGTTGTCAACGATGTCATCGACACCTGCAACCTCCTCAGCATCGGCTAGGCTTCAGGACGAAACAAGGGACCTCTCTGTCTTGTCAGCGGGCGTGATGGTTGGGTCAAACGATGGGCGTGAAACGATGGAAGGATGTGATGTGGTGCTTGCTGTTTTTTGTCTTCCTTCTCCTCTTCTGCCATTGGCTTAGGGGATTGACGCCTTTCCCACACTTGGGATGTTTTGTAACCAAGTTTCTGTTTGCCTTCCACAGTCATTACCTACAATCGAAAATTGCGCGCGCAACTCATCTTGCTTCTTTCCGCTCCACGTACATCGTAAACTGCTCGATATCAGATCGGTCGGAGTGTTTTGGTGTCCTGGGCGCATTCAGGGGCTGGGAGTGCGGCTGGGATCGGCAGAAGTGGCCACAGAGCTGGGCGTGCCCCCCACGCCCCCGCGTCCATGGTGACAGTTGCCATCCCCCCCCCCCCCCTCCAAACGGTCCACCGAAAATGCGGAGGACTGCGCCTGTGCCGGGGCCGCTAGGGCCGCCCACCGGACAACGCCGACGGCCGATTCCCTTTTCTGGCGACCGGGAGAGGACCGCTTCGGCGATTTGCTGATCGCTGACCCTTTTAGGTCAACTCATCCCGGACTGCTCCCTTATCTTTTCGACCCTTTTCGACCCTTCTGAGCTCCCCGAAACTCTTGGGATGCCGCCTGCCACCACCTGGCCTATGCTGTGCAGATGATAAGGTCTTCGCGATGGGTTGCTTTCCCCTTTCCAGCAAAGAGGCCGCAGGAACCCTCAAAATCGGCACTTGAAGCAGACTAGAAGCGGCGACGAAGGGGTGGATTTTTGCGGCGCGGCATTCTTGCCTTGTGTAATTGGTTGTCATGCCAAATCGCTGAACCGCACCCTCAACTTCATCACCAGTCGCTCTTTCCCTAACTTGTGAAGAAGTCCTTGGCCTGTTGGTATCGCACCTTCTTCACTTTCCGTTATCTTTCGCCGCACAGCTGAGCAGGCTCCCGCCCCTGACTATATACCCACGCTTCTGACCCAAGATGCCCTCGTCACTGTCTTCATCCCCACCGCCGTGATTTCATTTCTTCAACCCCAACATCTGACACATACGAACAAAACACATCACCCACGGGGCGTGCCGCACTCCGCCGCCCGGCACAGACCAGCTCACTGTCTGGGACCTCCCTGAATCTGAGAAGCTCCTTCCTATTATTACCGTACCCGTTTCATGCTGCGCGCGTGCTCCTATCCACGATGCTGTCACCCTCGGAGTTCGGAAAAGGCTACGACATGAGCCTGGTCGCTTGCGCCTGGACGCTGTGGGCGGTTGCGCTCGTCGCCGTCATCTGTCGATTTGTATCGCGACGTCTCCTCGCCGGTCCCAAGTTCTGGAAGGACCTCAAGGCTGATGATTACTTGATGGTCGTTGCGCTGGTGTCGCTTGCGGGCGTGGCATGGTCGACGAATGAGATTGCAGCGAATGGGAGTAATTATGTCGAGGAGGGCGCGACGGAGGGGTGGTCTGAAGAGCAGGTTGCGAATGCGGTTTGGGGGAGCAAGATGCTTGTCGCCTTGGAGGAGTTTATGATATCGACTCTGTGGCTGGTGAAGTTTTGCTTGTTGATATTGTATGGGCGGATGACGTGAGTTGCTTCTGGGTTGGTATGGTACGTGTTGATGTTGACAAAGTGCTGCAGGTCTGGGCTTCGGGAAAGCCTCGCGGTCAAGGTTACCGTAGGCTATTGCATCCTTGCGTTTATCGCCGTCCAGGTGCTTTACCTGGGGGTTTGGTGCCGCCCGATCTACAACTATTGGGCGGTTCCCATACCGCCTGGGCACGGTGTGTACCTCTCCCGACGTTTTGCTTCCAACTTTCTGATTCTTCTCCCCAAGACCAATGCAAGAACTACCATAACCACCTCATCACGATTACGATCCTCCATGTCTCCTCAGACCTAATGATGCTCGCCATTCCAATTCCCATGATCATCAGGACGCGTCTCCCCATCCGCCAAAAGGTCATTCTCTGCGGCGTCTTCAGCCTCGGTGTTCTCGTCGTCCTACTTGCAATTCTCAACCGGGTTTTCAACTTCGTCATGCCGCACGACCTGGTATTCTTGGCGTGGTACAATGGCGAGGCCAGCACCGCAGTCATCATCGCCAACCTTCCTTTCTTGTGGGGTCTTGTTCGCCGAATTTTCGGGTTTGAGTCTTGGGGCGGGAGTGGTGGAACGGACCAGAAAAAGAATGGGGCTGGAGGCGGCAACGCGCCGCCGCCGACGATTGGGAGTGCGAAGCAAAAGAGCAGGAGGCAGAGAAAGGGCGAATCGTTGTTTGATACTGCTTTTTCACGGCATGACAGTGCAGAGCGGATCACTGTAAAGGAGGACGTTGATGTATATTACGGTGACTCTATTGAGTTGGGTGAGCGTTGCCGGGTGACGGTATCGTGATGCCGCGGGCCGAGGAGAGTGGGTGGCTTTGGAGTTTGGACTGGCTGGAGTTTGACATATCTTGGCGTGGATTTTATGTCTTGAGTTGTTTCATATTGCTGGGGGAGTGGATTTGGCGGGTATAATGATGGAATCTTACGACACAAAAGCATGCTACAGGAGATGGCGGGCCACCCTTTGTGTTTAGTGGTGGTTAGCGTACTGAGCAAGCATCTTTTGATGCCCACCGCTTCATTGTGGCATGTCTTTCATCATGTCTAGCTGAGTGAGCAAGCCGCATGACAACGAAGATAAGCCCGCAAACAAAGAAAAAGACTACCAATGCATCTCTGCACTGATTCATACAGTGTTCTTATAGACATACACATCGGCTAGATGCTGACAGATCAGGCAGTGAGGCATAGGTTGCAAACGTCTTTGCGAGCCAACTGGAGGTCCTCATCTAGACGGTTCTCTGCTATCTTCGGTAATAGGCGCACGCCACTTTGTTTATTTGACGTCGAGTTTATGGTCGGATGAAAGGCTTGCCGTCCATCACAGTAGAGGTTTCTTGTGTTTTTTGTCCGAATCTAGGCTATGGTTCACGTGTGGTGCTATGGGAACAAAAAATGCTCTGCCCATGTGAATTGCAATTTAACATGAT